AGCTCATGTATCCCACCATGCTTATGTGTTGCTGTTGTTGTTTTCTTCACACGATACTCAGAAGCATAGGAAGAGAATGTGTGAATCATTCAGGAATTCCTTAATGCTACTTCCACATTACACACAAAATGTCTCCCATGGACTAGGTATAAAGAGTCAGTCATGTTTTGTGCAAGTGCTGCTGCTGTGATGGAAATATTAGAATAATAGAATTGTAGAGATCCGTGTCATACAGAGTCAAGGACTGATGTGGGTTGTTAGTCTTGGGAAGCAAATGGGCCATGTAACTATCAGATTACTTGGCTTTTTATGGTCAACAACTTTGGGGTTTGTCCTAAAAGAAGCTCAACAAACAATTTTGGGGGTTTCTTTGAAAAAGAAAAGAAGCTCAGCAACTTTCAGAGTGTTCTGGTTTCTACTTTTTGAAATACGGCAACCCTAGCTTACTAATATAGGCAGCTGAGGAACACCACAAAATGCAGTTGGGAAGGGAAGGAAAGGGAAGGGAAGGCATGAGACTTGTTGGCCTGGGAATGAAGCCAGCTGGGGTAGGGGAAGCCATAAAGATAAATTTCTTCTTCTTCTTCTTCAAGGTAAATGGCTGGAACTTTGGCTGCAAGTTCCTAGTTCAACAACAGCAGAACCTACTCAATTGAATCTGCTGACTATCTAATTCACTCATTATTAACCTCGTATCAAGGATAACCAATGGAATATCACCACCATGGAATAAAAATACATGATACAGCCATCTTGCTAAAGCTAGGGAGATTTGGCTCTAGCCAGTGCCTAGATTGGAGACCGCATGGAAACCCAATTTATGCCACCTTGAGTTTCACGAAGAGTCGGACACGACTAAATGACTAAACAACAACGAGTTTCACAATGGGAGAAAGACAGCATAGAAAAGTATTAAATAAATAAGCACACACACAAAACTGTCAAAAGATCTCTACTGAAATAATTTTTTTGCTGAGGTTCAAAGCTTCCATGCTGAGGTTTTTTCATTATTCCACAAGCATGAGAAATATATGTAAATTCCCCAAATATGAATAAAATCTTGACTGGCTTTCGGAAAGAGCATTTCGAGGAAAGAACAATCAGTGAGAATATCACCCGGGCTAGAGCAGTTCTTTACCTCCTTGCTTTGTATGGTATTTTGGAGACCTATGCAAAGAAAAATCATCTAGACATTATTACATGCAATGGAGGTGATTCAAAGCAACAGAAGCTATCGTTCTTTTAAACGAACAAAAGATTTGTGTAGACAATCAGGTGTTTAATAGAGATCGGGCCAGCTGTTCTAGACAGCATCATTCCATAAGAAAATAGCATAAAACAACCATTACGCAAATAAAAAGCTGGGACTTTTCAGACAAAAAGCAGATGGAAAGAATACAAAGCAGTGCTAATGTGTTGGCAGTTTCATCATTCTTCTTAATATCATTTGCTTCAGCTCACTAAATCTATAGTTAAGATGATGCCATAGGGGTCCATATGATATTGTAATGTATACTTAGCACTAGCCTAGACATATGGAATGCAAAAATATAAATCTATTTAAGAAGTCACAATTTAATTTAGTAATGGCTAATATTTCATAACTTCAAAAACCATACTGAAAATTAATCTCACACTTTAATATGCTTTTAAGAACTGTTGTGGATTTTTTTAGAAGCACTCTGCATTTCGTATTTGAAACCACTTTTTAAGAATTCACAGGTTTCTCTTCTCCCATCATCTACTCATCAAAACAAACGCTGTTCTTTTTGTGTTCAGAATGAGAACTCATCAGTGCCTCTTATACTGGTTAATGTGCCTGATACAACTGAACATGCCTAACAAGGATTTGGTACAGGTAGTTGATGACTAGAGGATGGGGTTGCCAGATTGAAAGCTCCAAGACACTTTTAGTTTTGAAAGCAATGTAGCCTGTGGCACATAGTGCGGATTTGGTACTTGGCCACTACCGTTGAGCAGCAACATCCTTAACAGTAGATGTTGCATGGCACCATCACAGACGGTACTATGTAAACAAACTGGCTAGTCATACCCTGTGAGGCCATGAGCTGCTGAAATCAGTAGACTAAGCATGGTACTAAGCTTGAGTCAGCTCCTGCTTTTGTGATGGTCCCTGTAGCTTGATGGCCAATCTCGGGTTGAGAACTGCCTCCAACCCCCATGTCACTTGTTGTATCGACATATTTCAAAGCAAAAAAAGACCTCTGGATTGCCAACATGTAAATCCTGCTAGGCTGTGGAAGATAGAAAATGAGTAAGAGGAAAGAGAAATCTGGCTTTTTGGACTTGGAGAAAGAGTGAGGAATAGAAACCTCTTTCTGGAATACTTATTCAGTTCATCAGTATTTGAGGAGTTGCCACCTTCCAGGGCAACTGCACAGGCTTTTCTAGGCAGGCTCATCCCCACATGGGGGCGAGGGGGTGGACTACTTATTTTTAATATATATACTGCTTAACCACAATCGTGTCTAAGCAGTATGCAAGACGTAAAATACAGAAACGGTAAAAATCAGTTAAAACTATAAAATCAGACTTCAATTAAAATGCCTGCTGGATTCAGAAGGTGCCAGAGGTTCAACAGCCTGCCTGACCTCAACTGGAAGTTGGTCCATAATACCAACTGCACACTTCCTGCTTGGATACAAACTGCACCACTGAGCTTATGTGGGACATTGGTTTGTTTCCATTGCTAGTCTGTTTCCAGTTCCGAAAATTGCAGTTAGATCTTCACTACATCATAAAAAAGATAAAAATAAATTTAAAAGGGAGCACATTTTCAAACTGAGTTCATGAAGTTTTATGAACTTGCTTGCAATGACTTCATTTGGCTCTACATGCATCTCTGTATCTATTGATTCATTTGTTTATGGGCTGGGAATGAGCTTCTAAAATACCATCCCACACACGAGACTGTGCACTTAAAATGCACAGCTGCTGCAAAATATTCAGATCACCTTTCTCAGCTGCCACCCAGCATATCAACATTTGGCAAGCTAATAGCCTTCTATTGAATTAGATTTATGTGTTTATACTATTTAACTTTTAATAAGTAAATAGACTTATTCCGATTTTATTTCACGAAAACACACCTGAAATTAATCTGTTCTGCTTCCTTTATATACACACACACACATCTGATCTGGAAGCTAGCCAATCTTATTTCTATTCCATCTGTTTAAACAGAACGTAAGAACATAAGAGCCAAAACATATAGGTGTCTGGCCCCACCCCAAATAAGGAAGACACACGTCTAATAGTTAACTCTTTATTGGCAAGAGAAACACTTAGAGAAGCTGTCACAGTCCTCTGGATACACATGCACACATGCTTCTGGCCTCTAAGCAGCTGGCCACAGATCTGGACCCTATGGAGCAGTTGCAGCAACAGTGGAACCACACCTCCCCACTTATGTACCCTCATCTGATGGGCCGTGCATGCACAACCTGAGGCTTCACCTACATGGAAGCTGTTGCTGCTCTCCTCTCTTTAAGACCTTCGTGGTTCTAGGAGACAGCAGGTGGGGGGTGGCAGGGATTAAACTGGCCCGGTCCTCACCTGAACAGTCTCTTCCTCCGCCTTTGGCACATCCTGTGCGCCTTCCTCCATCTCTTGACTTCTCAGACTCTTCCTCCTCCCCCTGCCCTGGCTCTGGCCAAATCCCATAAACCACTAGTCCCTTCTTCTGAGTCAGTCCCCTGGCCCCCTGCCTCCACCACGCACTTGTCAGAGCCCTGCTTGTCTCCGACACAATCGCTAAGCTGTTCCCGACATTGCAGAAAACCTACTGCTCACATAACATGTAGAAATTCCTTCTAAAATAAAGGTATCCTGCCAAACTTCTAATAGCTCTAACCACACAATTGTCTAGCTAGTAAATGTCAATGCATTCTCCATGTGTTCTTTCCTGGATTGGGGTATCAATAAACAGTGCTTTTTTCTGGGGGGTGCGCAGGGGGACACATACCCCTAAACATTTTCTGAATCTTTGTACTTCTGACTATTTACTGTATTTATTTTTCCTGATTTGAACTATAAAATGGTGGTTTTCTGGAGTCAAAATGAGAGTACCCCTAAACATTTCTTTTTTGAAAAAAGCAGAGTCAATAAATAAGCATGAAGGAAGCCACACCATTGCCTGCTACAGTTCCAATAACAAGGATGCTGTCAAACCCCCAAACCAGCTCATGAACAGTTGTGATCTGCCTTAAAGACCTGTCCAAGGAGCTGCTGTGTTGATAAAGTTGCTAAAAGGATGAGGCTATAAACTGTGACTGAATTGTAATGTAAAGAAATAAATTAAAGGGAGGCATTAGGGTCATGTAGAGAGTTCTAAAATTTAGCAAAGGGAGATTTTAGCAAGAGAAGCAAATCACTGGCCATCTAAATTTATTCATGATATAGAGAGGGAGATCACACAAAACCCATGTATAGTTTAGCTTGCTTCACTGCAAAATACCAAATGTGTGTTTTGCAACTCACCAGTATTGAGAAAATTAAGCCAGAAGACAATTCATCTAAATATATTTAGCAATCTAAAATTTATGCCTTAAAGATTAGTGTACAACAGTCATAGAATATAAAATGGATTTCTCCACAAGAGAGAGTATTTATTCTTCATTTTATATCTAGTATGTTAACAGTGATTTGCATTATTGACAGGCCCTGACATATCTTGACACCTTCAATAACAGTTAATATGAGACTCTTCTCACTTGGGGATCAATAGTCACCCCTCCAAGGCACCAGCCTAAAGATTGAAAAGATGCATGAAATAGGAGACACCTCTTCTGGAATTTGTATCTGATAGAATTAATTATAAGGGATGAATAAGCAAGTATTGATTTAGCTCCCTTATACTGTCTGAGACCTTGTCAGAAGAGATAGTGACCCAAAAAGGGATATATATGTGCACTGATCATCATTAATAAAAGAAAATAAACTAAGTACAGCTTGCAAAATGTTTTTTCTTTCTTTTTTTTATAATTGTGAAAATCCAATTAAAAACTATGTTAAAAATTGTGTGTGTGTGTGTGCACGTTCATGTTTGTTGAAAGATTTGTATCTATAAATCTCATTCAAGAAAACTTCATATTGCCAACAGAATGCTTTTGAAATCCTTTATTTTTTAATCTCTCCTTTGTTTATTAGAACACATTATATAGTTAATTTAATAAATTTGGGCTACATTTTCCTGTATATTAGGGCTAAACTGGTGTCAACCATATATATCATTAGGAAGATAATACCATTCTGCATTTGACTGAAAGCACTTTTCAAACATTATGGAACTGGCTCTATTCCCGAACCAACTATTTATTATGAGTTGTTCCCTTCACTGTATAAAATTCATTGATTGAATGAGAAGGGCCATGTGGGTATATTCATTTAGTTGTTCCTCTGATAGAACCAGGGTACTGCAGTAATCAGCATGCTATATCTAGAGATGTGATTGGCAGGTTCAAAAACTTGACAAGCCATGTAAATTCTCCATCTTTCATCAGGTTATTAGGCTGAATGTTTTAATCTTTTTGAACTTAAGCTTCCCTTTGGAATGTCTTCAGCTTTGTGAACCCTCCAACCCACAAGAGAACAGAACAATAACATGGTACAGGTCAGCGTGTGGAAAAGTTTCTCATGTAGAATTGCATGCCGTCTGCTGCTGCATATGCATTTTTGCAAAGGTGTAATTTTGTGTCCACAAGGACAGGCTCCCAGCTTTCCTTCTAGCTATTTGTGCAGGCTCTTTGTCCTTCTTTCTCCAACCTTCTCTCTTTCTTTTTCATTATAAAAGTAATTGCAGCATAGGATATGCCGCTAGTCGTGCCAGTTGGTGGCTCCAGAATTGGAGGTGGTATGTGTCTAAATACCATTTGCAGGAGAGAACAACTGTGGAGAGTGGTGTTGCGTTGATGTCTTGTTTGCCGGCTTCTCGTTGGCATATTGGCTGGCCACTATGAGAAATGGATGTTGGGCTGATGGACCTTTGGCCTGATCCGGCAAGTCTCTTCTGACATTTCTATTCTCATGATCTTCAAAGCATTCTGATCCATGTTCTTTCACAACTGATTCTGAATAAATAGGAGATTGCATTGCCTGCCTACAAAGAATATTCTTTCAGATTATAAATGTGGTAGATGACCGCACACAAATAAAATACTAGGTAGGGCTACACCTCCCCTGAAATATCACAGAATTAAAACCATCTTACTCTCATGGGACAAGGAGAGGAGAGAAGCAGACTAAAATGTAAATTGGCATATTGCTTTTGCATATTGAATATTTCTCTTTTGTCAGTAACAGCACAAGATAAAAACTACCCAAGGCATAAACAATTCTGATTCAGAAACAATGGGAAAGGGTGTTTATATCTGGAAAGACAAAATGAGTTTTTGGAGACAAGGAATGAAATGTGATTGGCGAGCATTCTTCTTTGGATGGATATATATCCTTCTATTTTCATGCATTGAGAATGGTTGCAAAGAAGCCACCTGCTGAGCAATTTGCATAGTTAACTTGGACTCAACAGGAATACTACTGAAATCTGAACTTCATTAAACAGGCATATCAAGAGCCCTGGAAAAAAATATCCTAATACATTAATGCCACTGGCCACAGATCAATGCCATGTATAACTCAACCATCAGCAGGGAACTAAAAGTTAATCATTTCTTCACAGCCTACTAGCAGTCCATCTCTTCATTTTGCTCTTATGAAGCTAAAAGAAGGAGAAATAAATCTTGCTTTACCAAACCCAAGAAAAATGGCCAATATAAAAGGACAGGCTAGAAGAGACCCAGGGGTACTATAGACCTATCTCTAGAAACATAGTGAGAATTTAAAACAGACATATGTTACAGATCCTATGACTGACCATGAAGCATTTGATAAGATCCATTGGATTATTTTGATCTATTCAGTTTCTCCAAACTGGAGTCAGGGAACCTGTGGCCCTCCAGATGTTCTTAGACTGCAGCTGTCATCATCCCTGCCCATTGCTTGTGGCGTCTGAGGCTGATGAGACAAAGACCAACAACACCTGGATGACACAGGTTCCCCACACCTTCTATATGCTAATTAACATTTGTGAAATATCTATTGTTAGCATATATATTCCAGAGAATCGACATCCTGGGTCTGGTTATGAAGTAGTTTCAACTTTAGGCTACTCAAGAAAATTCACATGGTGAGTCCCTTGCTTGTCCAGCATGAGCACACCTTCAATACATTAACATTTTAAATATATAGTTTAATATATTAAATGTACATGGATGCTGCTGAAAAAGTGCATTATTTCTTTGTCATCTGCATGAGATGAACACATATTATCTAGTCATATGTAAGGTGAATATTAATCAAGCCATTAAATGTGAAATAGTCAAAATGCTGAGTCACACAAAAGGCTTTATGCTATGAACCAGAAGTCCTAGTCACAAACTTATGGATCTGGAGATCAGAGATATAGCCAACAAGCCATTTCCTGGTAAATGGACAAAAGGTTGCCATAAACATAGGAAATACTATTAGCCATATGAATGGCTATACATTTCCCAATTATGTTTTGACAGACAAATGTGAGTCTAAGAAAGGTCAGGACTAGAAATGGGTGAAAAATTTGGTTCAGTTCGCATTTAAAGGGGAACCTATGAAACCCACACTTTCTGAAATAAGCCATGAACCAAAATACAGCCATTCTTCAAAATTGACACTTATCTCAATTTTGCAAGGGAGTTCTCATTCCCAGAAATATATACAAAAATGCATATACTAGGGTAAAGTATGCATAAAAATACAAACATCAGTGAAGATAACGTACAAAAACACTTTATATTAGGTGAAAATGCTATGCAAAATTGTGCATATCAAACAAAATTGCATATAAAAATTTAGCATATTAAGATAAATGCGCACTAAAATACCCAGTGATTTTTGAATGAAGGGTATACAAATTTATATACTGGGTATACTGATTATCATGATAACTTATATATATATATTTTAAAAATCCCACTTATGTGGAAATCTGGAGACTGAATAATGAGAAGCTAAGACTATTCATGGGGAGAGGGGCGGAATAGTGTATTTGTACAAGTTAGTCAACTAGAACTTAGAAACTGTGTGTGTGTGTGTGTGTGTGTGTGTGTGTGTCCTGCTGCAATGAGGTTTCACAAATAATAGAGCTAGAAACAGTAACATACCAAATGACTTCACTAAGAATGTTATTATAGCAATCAAGAAGTCTATGCATGTATTTTCCATTTCCGTAAACCTGATGAACAGCAATTACTTCACAGACAAACACCAGTTTTCAGTTTCTGGCTTTTAAAAATGACTGTGTAATGCAGAATAATGGCTATACTGCCATAGCATCCATCACCTTATGTGCAAGCTGAGAGCTAGATCTACTTGGTCATTTAGTTAATGGGTCGAATTAATGAGAGTTAAACAACAACAAAAACACGCTATAATAAATACACTAGATTAAAGGAGCTTTTCATGTTTCACCAGCTTTTTTGCCCTATTTTAAATTAGCATTTGCATATATAAAGGGCTTAATAAATGCATGTCTAGCTTTGGGCAACAGTGTAAGATAAACAATAGCTCACAAAGCGGAATGTGGGGAACACAGATGTAAATTCCTCCCTCCCCCTTCTAGCTCATTTGGATTTCAGTTTGCATTGCTAAAATAGGCTGCAATCCTAACCTCATTTAACTTGGAGTAAACCCCACTGCATTCACTAGGTCTTCCTTCTGAGTAGACATGCACTGTAAGACTTGGAGTAACAAACTGGTATCCTGCCAAGTAAAGTATATTAATCTCTGCTTGACTTTATACATTAACTTTATGCCTTAACACTTGGCATAATTAAAAGTGATTAGGCAACCAATACAGTGAACTTTCCATTGGTCCATCCATGCAATCACCATTCATTTCAGTCCCCTGCTCACTGTGGCAGTTAAAATTTAGGAGGAGGGGGATTAACTGGATGGGACCAGGTTAATGCCTCCCTACTGGAGCTTGAAAGATCCAGTGGTCTGGCCTCTCCTGAATAAGCCTACCTGGGTTCCAGAGGTTTTAGAAAACTCCCGCCAATCTCTAATATTGCCTTCCTGGACGAGGTGATTGAGAGGGTAGTAGACAGGCAGCTGCAGGAATGCCTGGAGAAAGCACAGGTTCCTGCTAGCTAGGGATGATGGGAGCTGTAGTCCAAAAACAGTTGGAAACCCAAGTTTGAAAAACGCTGAGTCCCAAACCATTTTACCCAGGCATTTGATGGTTAAAAGGTACTGTTCCCAGTAACCTTGAAATGTTTAGCGGTTTTGAAGTATCTTTAGATGTCTAAATTGTTTTTAAATGATTTAAATGATATATATTTTGTTTTTACTTGTAACTGTTTTACTAGTGAGTTGTTTGCCTCCTGGGGCTCTATTGGGGACAAGGTTGGGATAGAAATTTAATCAAATAAACGAAGTCTTAAGTGAAGCCTAGATAAGAAGAGCTGGTTCCCACCTCAGACCTTCCTGCCAACATACGTATGGTGGAGGGGGGGTGCCACAAGAGGCCATCAAGCCTGACCCTACTCTTCATCTCACCTGATGGTAGAAGGGAACATTGAATACACTGAAACAGGGCTGGGATAAGAAATGTGTTAAGTTGTGGGTGAACATATCAGACGACACAGAGATTCTTCAAACAGCTCTTGTTTATTCAGAGGCCAGAACAGAACTGAACTGAAGGGTTCAGTCAGCCTGCTTATATAGAGCTCGAGTACAACGTAACTCTAACAATTTTCTAAAACTATCCAATCACTGAACGTCACTTTCGATCCCTTATTTGCATAACTATCTACAGTATCCCCCTGCTGGCCCAGGGTGAGAACTTCAGTACATAACAAAATGTATTCAAATTATTTAACTGGAGCAAGCTTTTCAGCCACTACCACACAGCGCATACCAAAGAAACTGCAAAATGGAACATCATTTCCAGCCATGAATATTAGTCGAGAATACAATTTGGCATAGTTAGTTTAATATGTCAGTTTGGAAATTGTGGCATTGTGGAAACACTGTATAACTTTATATAGAACCCATAAGAATTCTGGGTACCTGTTCTTCAATATCAATTAGATCTTAGGAGCCTTAACTATCTCTCAATGCCATGAGAGATACTGTAATGTGGTATGGAAATCATAATAAGATTTCTGTCACATCTTTTCCATTAAACTCTCTTTGAATTTTGTCTGAATGTATTTCCCCCCTACTTTTTCTCCCTTTGTATAGTAGAGAGAGGTGGAACTGATCATCAGTTGTTCTGAAGCTGTTTTAAGTCTTCTGTTTAATATATTTAATATATTACCTGAGATATTGACAGGGAAAGAAAAGGCTTTATGAAGTCAATGAGTAATACTGTCCCTGAGGAAAAATTAAAGAATTTTGCAGAGTGAGTATAAAAACCCAACTGCTGACTGTTGAATGAAATGCTCTCCTATAATCTATGGTAGTCAGTCTGATGAATACTTTAGTATCAGTAGAAACAGCTGCATTATCTGTCAGTCATGTTCCCATGCAGGACAAAGGAGTCTGCTCTCTGCACTTCTCTCTGAATCTTTAAATCTGAAGTGAACAACATGCATATTTTTGATATAATTGATTGAGGTTCAGGCTAGATTCATTCTGGATTTATAAAATAAGTTCACTCTGGATTTATAAAACAAAGGAGGACTCATGTTTACCTTACTATGGAATAGTAGCTCAGGCATGAGACTCTTAATCTAAGGGTCTTGGGTTTGAATCCCATGTTAAGCATACATATCCCTTCATTGCAGGGGGTTGGACTAGATGAGCCTCACGGTCCCTTCCAACTCTACAATTCTATGATTCTAAGATGAGAGCTGCAGTGTAAAATCAGCAAATAGTTCATCTCTTCTTCCCATGGGAGCATCCAGCTTGCAAAGAAGGAGACTGTGGATTCCAACACCTTTTTGCAACTGGAAGGAACTCTTCTATACCCAGAACCCCAATCCCAAATGTTCTTTCTCCCTAGGTCCTGTTTATTGTCCCTGTAGTTACAAGTGTAGTAGGGTTGCCATATTTCAAAAAGGGCAATCCGGACATAAGAGTTGTTGAACTTTTTGCAAAATTGCAAAGAAATTGGACATTTTTGAGATATTTCTGAGGGAGGGAAATGACAAAAACGGCACTGCCGACATGGGGTGCTAAAGGTCTAGATTTTCCCTGTGGCTGCAGTACAGTTGGTACCTTGGGTTAAATACTTAATTCATTCTGGAGGTCCGTTGTTAACCTGAAACTGTTCTTAAGCTGAAGCACCACTTTAGTTAATGGGGCTCCTGCTGCGGCTGCGCCGCCGGAGCCCAATTTCTGTTCTCATCCTGAAGCAAAGTTCTTAACCCGAGGTACTATTTCTGGGTTAGCGGAGTCTGTAACCTGAAGCATCTGTAACCTGAAGCGTATGTAACCTGAGGTACCACTGTATTCTGGATATGTTCGGGAAATTCTGGACGTATGGCAACCCTAAATTATACTGTGAGATAGCATAATCCTCTATAGTACACAGGGCAGGATAGTTCCCCAACTGCCCAGAATACATTTTCAGGGGTATAAGGAACTGCAGGGTGCTGGGAAAGTGGTGAAAATTGCCCCCACCATCACTTTTCATTCAAAGGAGTATCCAATTTGCAGAGTTCTAGCCCACACCACTCTGGAGCCGAGCCAACGAGTCACAATGAGTACTAAAGTGTCATACATTGATCCCCAGGAAGGTTTGTCCTATAAGCCTCTAATTCAGTCCTACAGCCAGAAATGTTTTTGTGAGGGGCCCTAAGGGGACAGGTAATCCGTTCCAGAGCAGCCAGAACATAAAATACTGGTAGCCAAACAGACTTATTTTCAAAGGAGACTGGCTGAGGAATTATTTAGATCTAGCAAATGCTGCAGATGAGCCTGGAGGTCCAGCACTAACCAGGGGTGAGAGAAAACTTTATCATATTGACAAGGACAGGACTGCAGTTAAATGTTGTCACTCACACATTTCCCCACTTCCCTACAAGACCTTTCACAATGCATGCATGTCAGAACAGTTGCATTGGCTTGGGTACAATGTTGCGCTAGTGCAAGGATTGCAGAGCACCTGACCTAAGTGCACTGTTGTACTACTATACACTAAGTAACTAAGATCTTGCATCTGATTTTATCCAGAATTTTTGTTCTGCCTAGCAGCTGATCACAGACACAAGCAGAAATTTTATAAATTTATTAATCTGAAAAAATAGCAACATAAATGTGGTTTTGTGTTTGGGTTGCGACCCTGATCATAGTTAGCTTGGTTAGGTCCCATTAATTGGAGTGTAAACTGCCAATCCATGCACAGGAGCTCAGCTTGGTTCCCCCATGCTTAATTAGGTACATGTTCCATTTAGTTCTACAATCTCCCCTCTTCTAGAAAACTAAAATAATATGGTGTTTTTATAGTCTGATGCAAATTACAGCAAGTAGCAATTTGGGTAATTTGATGCAAACTGTGCTAGCAGCTTCTGAAGTCAATATTGATAAAACCCATCGTAAGTATCCACTGGATCATACTTGCAAATGATTTTTAACATTATGCCTCCTCCTGGTCCAGAGCTCCTTGTGTGCTCTGATGTGCACATGGAACACGTTGCACAAATAGCTTCCTTGTTCATCTTGTGAAGGAAGAAGCTTCTCCCAGCATATCCCCTGGCTAGCAGTCACTGGATAAAGCACATAGCTATTTATAAAGACACACACACACACACACACACACACACACGCCTTTTTTAAAGACATGGTTATTCATCATACAATGCTGCTGACAGGATCTTCTGGGTCTGGGTATGCTATTTATATTCAGGCTTTTCTCCATGGAGGGTTATCCTATATCCATAGTCCTATATCCATAGTCAGTCCACTTGTGTCCTCCACCCCTGTCTGTAGCCTGAAGTCTGTGGACTGAGTATCAGCTTAATGCTTCATCCTTTTCTCCTGGGTCTGGTGGAATTAATAAAGCAGACTTTGGAATCCTTGCTAGGTTGAAGCCTGCATGTGGATGCACAGCCAGCCACCCCACCTATATCTAAATAGGATACTGATTTAAGCAAAATTATAGACTGGAGAAAAAAGTTACCAGTCTTGATATAGGAATGCACTGTTGACATACAACATGGCTGACCATGTAGATCAACCATTTTGTTAGGGTCTTTTCCCCCCCAATATGCTCATGGTTTTGACAGAAGGTTTGAACATTTACGTTCTGCCATGTTGGTATAGTAAATCTCATTGTTAGAGTGCCAAGCCTCTCTTGTAGAAGACATATTGAAGGCTACAAAGACATAAGCCCAGTTTGCAAATCATGCCAAACCCATGGTCATCTGCAGGGATTTTTCCAGGGTGGCAGAAGTGCTGGCAAAGTAAACACTTTGGGATAAAAAGTGATATAAAAATCAGAGAACAGGTTTAAGATTTCTGGTACACCTGATTACTGAGCAGTGGCAAGGGCTGAGTAGATCTGGCCTCTAAGAAAACTGAATTATAGGTCTATCCCTTGGTAAGTTCTCAATGGATAGACCAGCTGTCCATCTACAGGTGGACATGGTATGCAGACCATGTCTTTCTGCTCACGTCTGAAACTATCAATTATTACCTGGCTCCCTGACCTGCTCTAGCCCTTAATTAATTGCACTGCTGCTACAAAGAACTTCACAGCCTTTACCTCACTGGATTTCCCTTAAACACACACACGTGAACAACATTGGACTACACTCCTTCCTTCTTTCAGAAAAATGGGTATAACAATACCCAATTTAAAAATCTATAAAATACATTACAGGAAAGGGGTTAGGTTAGTAGGGATATTTTTTTAAGAAGTGAGAAAGGGTTGTATCCTATCCTAGACCTACTCAGAGGAGGCCCATTGAAAATAGTGGCCTAACTAACTTGGGTTCACTGATTTCATTAGTTCTATTCTGAACAGGACTAACATGGGATACAACCCAGAGTCTGCTCATGGATGAGTCAAAAGAGAAGTCTTCCCCATCTTCAACTCTGCTACATGGCAGGAACAGAGAAAAAAATCTCCTCTCCCAAATCTCTTCTCCCAAAACAGTTCTAACCACCAGACAGAATCTGGGCACAAATGAGCTGCACTGTGTTTGCTGAAGAAAACACAGCAGCATCTTAGTAAACCTATAATCCACTGTGACAACACTGACACCTAGCTGCTCGTGTACCCAAACTACTCCTTACATTCTACAGTGGTGTAATGCACTGATCACAAGCTACACTACACTTTTGCAGTTATAGATGCATCCACGCCATCACAGGTGCTAAGTACTTCTCTGCTTTTAACTCTTCTCGCCATCTTGCCACCAGCATAAAACCGCCGCTTGAAAAAGCAGCATACTGCTTCCCAGAAGTGTTCGGATTAGCTGTTTGGCAAGCCTCTATCAAAATGCTGCTGCCAATGCTTTTGTAAATGTACGTGGGTGGGATTTTCCTTGCCTTAGCTACTCTCCCTCCAGCCCCAGAAGACTGCTTGTTATCCAATAGCAGAAACAACACACTGGATCTCCTCCCCCAATTCAAAATCTTGCAGCGCAGCACTTGCTACCAAGCCCAGGAGATTACAGAAATGGCAGCATATGAAGCAATTTGGCAAGAAGGATTTGGATTCAATTTCATCCAACCTATCGATGCAACAAGCCAACAAAATTAAACAATGTGTGCCCAGCGCCTGACTCACCTTTAGAAACAATCACAATTTGATTGACCCATTATTACTAAGAGAGGGTTGTTGTTTTCTAATGAAATGCTACTACTGTACATCATCATGATTTCAAAATATGCAGCTGCAAGTGATTAATTATACTCTGGAAGAACCCAACAACCAACTCTTCTATTTAAATTACATATGGCACCTATTAATTTATTTGCCCTAATTATCAAAGCAGGAATGCTGTCCTGCACCCTCTATCACAGAGTCTGCTTCAAGAATTTGCTTGTTTCCCCCTCCCTTCCTTTCTATTATGTGGCTCCACTAATGGCAAGAGTGTATCATAACTTAATTAGTTAGCACTGATTTGTAATCTGCACACTTCCGCTTAATTGGCATTTTTCACGGCACCAGCCTTAATCGTATGTTTTGCATAACTAGCAACCTTTGAAAAAGGAAAGCCTTGGGGGAGGGGAAGCCGTAGTTTTTTTGTGAAAAGTGTGCGTGCTGTGCCCTTGCTTCAGAACCACACGGCCTCTGAAATCCATACAGAATGCATCATTTTCTGGGCATGAAAACTACATGGCTATGCAGGGCAGATTAACAAAGAGTTTGTTCTCATGACACAGTATACCATAGAATAAACAGCCAATGAATTCACATTAGGAGCTGCTTATTCTGGAGTGATATGCTAGTTGACTTCAGAGTAAACTCTGGTGAAGCATGGCCTCTCTAGAGAGGGTGATGATTTCATAAGAAGCTAGAAAAGTCCTATTGAGTCCGTCCCCCCCAGCCACCCTGATTTCTGTTACTATTCCAATGGTGGAAATGAGGTTCTTGCTCCACCTCCAGGCTAATGACATTTGAGCACTCGTGACATTTGCACTTGTAATTGTTTGCAGCCATGACATTACTCACTATGCCAACATTTCCTGAAAAAACCAAATGCAATTTAACTGTTAAACTGTTAAACATTATCTGTGTGTAAAAATAATAGGTGCATAAACAAGCCCACAAATATCCAAATAGGTAGCTCGCATAAGAAATATGCTGAACACCCCCCAGCTCTATTCTGCATCATCCAGCCTGCCTGCCTGCCTGTTCCTCCTACATCTTCAGTCCTGGACGATGGTTATCTGCAGGGAAGAAGGCTCTACTATTAAGCAGAGTGAGCCTTCTGCCTCAGCCTACTGACTCTGGGTATCCGGAAAAGGCAGCAAATTGTTAATAAATGTGTTATATTATTGATATTTTATTTTTTTACTCCTAGGGAGTAAACAACATCGTTTTTATTTGCAGCACAGTCTGCCTCAGCCAGCAAAAAACATTTGTCCAGCCTTGAATACTGGGCCCCTTGACTTTGGTAGGGAGCAACATTTACTGTTCCACATCAGGCGCCAAAATATATTGGGCCAGCCTGCTTTTTGACTGGAGTTCTGCTCCTGATCTGTTAAGATAGTCTTGCTCTAGTCTGTAACCTCAATTTATTGCCACCAAAGGTGGTGACAACCACTAGCTTAGTTGGCTTTCAAGGGGCCACTCCTTTTCTCTGTCCTAAATCTACAAAGTACAATTGCCAGGTATACGTTACAGCTGTCCTGCACACCTACAAACTGCTTCTTAAGACATATTTTAGAAAGTTTACTTTCTTCAATGAAGAGTTTAAATCCAATAACCCAAAAGGGAAAGTGTAGCTTAGTTCCTATACATTTCATTTTAGTCTCAGCTCTCTAAAAGCCTACTGGAGTCCAGAATTCAGGTCCAGGGTTTACAGCATCCAGGATCATTATAGGAGTTCTGTGAACCACAATAAGATGGTGTGCCATGCTTTACAATGTTGAAACATTTGCATTGTTTCGAAGTCTATTTTATCAGAGTTAGTTATTTTCCTGTGACAAGAGAAGAGACCTTACATTTCTTGGATTTTAGCATGATTCCAACTGTGTGTATTTATATATATATATATAGAGAGAGAGAGAGAGAGAGAGAATGGCTCTGCTGGAATCTTGCATGATGCTCATTCACATTTATTTTGATCACGAAAAATTGAGGATATTGTACACTTTTCAGAAATACTATCTGTCAGCCTGAGGCAAATTTATTTGCTAGCCATTGACAGGCAGACAAACAGAAGTTCAAAAAGTTGACTTCCTTAGCCAGTAAATATCAATCAGTGTTATTCAAATCAATAGCTTATGCTCTGGCATTATCTTCATCTCCTGCTGAATCTGCTGAAGCACACGTTGTGAAATGCATCACTAAGTGGTTGCATTATCTTATTACTTTTTGTGAGAAGATAATTTTTGCATTATCTATATTCTGCTGTAGCCTGCGGCTAATACAGAAATAAAACTGAGTGGAAATTAAACAAACACAATCTGAAGATGGGCCTTGAGCAGGGATTTGGAGTAACCCGTCATCAGTATGCTGATAACACTTAATTCTATCTCTCCATTCCATCTGAATTAGAAGAGGCAGTTCAGATGCTTGACCATTGAATGAAGGCAGTCATGGGCTATATGCGAACCAATGAAATGAAACTGAATCCAGACAAGGCGCTGTGTGTTGCTGGTTCTCAAGTCTGAGAAGCAGGGAGAGGGCCAGTTCTTGGCAGGACTGCACTCCCCTAGGAGGGGGAGGGGGAGGGGGAGATGTGTAGCTTGGAGGTACTTTTTGATCCATTTATGGTGCTAGAAGCACAGGTAACCTTAGTAAGCTGTGAACGCCTATGGCTAGTTCAACAGCTACAAGTCTTCCAGAATAGGGATAGCTTGGCCACAGTGATCCCCATTCTGGTACAACCAGACTGGACTATTGCAATATTCTTTATGTGGGTCTGCCTGTGAAACAGCTCAGAAGCTGAAATTAGTGCAGAATGCAGCAGCGAGGCTGTTGATGGGTATATTTGGACAGCTACATATTAACAAGTCAGATTTCCAAGTTGCTACCAAACCCAAATTAAGGTGTTAAGGCAGGTTGGGGAAATGAAACTTGAGTGGGGCAGAACAGAATAGAATTTCCAGTGAAACATTCAGCATTCTGGTTATGGTCAGACCAGTGAAGGCTGGAGAGAAAACTTAGCTAACAGAACAGTACTGGACAGAAAATAAGAAGCTGGGCTACAAGTCATGAAGCTCATTGTCTCATTTGTAATAAAAAAAATTAGGAGATTATTATGAGTAATTGGATGGTCTCATGGATGCCAACATGATGAAGGGTGGTGGGATCTAATTGTACAAGAGTCTTCTGCAGATGGGCTGGTTGGACAAATGAGGGTTTTTCCCGCTATATGCCAGTCTATTTTGTTTGCTCTTCCAAATGGCTTTAGCATGGGAGAAACAGATTAATACCACACTTTGCATATTCCAAGGCTGAGCAACGAAAATGCGGTCAAGTCTGAGCCTTGGTCTCACTATTGGACTGGATTGATCATACATTTTTAGAAAAGAGAACAAGCCAAAGCAGAATTTATTTATTTTTAAGGTGAAAATAAAGAACACAAAAGTATCATGTGGTTAAATGTTTATGGGGAAATAGTGATTATTTCAGACATGCTTAAAATTACCCTGTGGCTGTTGAGGATCTCTTATGCTGTGCTTTGATGGGTGAAGCATAATAATGACAAGTAGTTCAGCAGACAGTCGTGCATGTTTTGCAGAATTATATTCCCCATCTTGTCTTTTTAATTTATATGCAAGGTACTTGCTAGTCCATGGAGAGAATCTTTTCAAGAATAACTACTCAGTATTTTTGTACTGCGTTGATGAGATGCTTCCAAAATCTGCAAAGCATCAAGGTAAAGTATCTGCAAAGCCTTTGCAAACCTAACAGCATATTTTAATATGCAGTGAATTCTCCAATTTGCTTCTACAAAGCACAATTATAATCTAAGCAATGTTACCAAGAATGCTGAATGCTACAACTCTACTACTGTTTATCAGAAAGTCACTGAGTGAAAAAAAGCCAGGAAAGTATGATTTACATGCAGGATATAAAAAAGATCTCTGTCTCAGTGCAAATTTTATAAATAGATTGAAGAGAACAACATTATGGTCTTCCTGGAAAATGCCTTTTAATACAGTACTGGATTAATTTTCTATTCAGATATTTCAGCTATGCTTCAGTTACACAAAAACTTTTCACACTACCTTTTAAAATAAAATTATGAAAACAATCATGTACCTAAATAAAAAGTGCTTTACTAAAATGTTAAAAAATAAT